GGTTGCGCACGGTCTAGAGGGCCGCACAGCTGGGCTGAGTCCCCTCCGCCCTCAATGGCTCCCCCGGGACCCTGCCTCGCAGGCCTCACCGGCCCTACCTTGGCTACCTCCGTGTTGCTGTCGCGCGCCTCTGCCATCTCCAGGTGGCGAAGGCGGTGCTGGAGCTGGAGCTCCTCCAGCCGGCTCTGCCGCAACGCCACCTGGTGCCGCAGCGCGTTGAGCTGCTTCACCTTCTCGCTGAGCCGGTGGTCCAGCAGCTCCAGGGCCTGCTGCGGGGAGGGGAGCGAGAGCAGGGGCGGGGCCTGAACCCCCGCCAGTCCTTCCTCCTTCCTTCTCCCATATTGTGACTTCCGGGACCCCACTCTCCAGTTTTCCACCGGCCTCCCGGGCCACCCCTTCTCCATTTCCTTTGTCTTTGCTTTGGAGAGAGCGCCTGAGGCTCTCCTCTCTGTCCTGGTGACCTTAAGCAGTCTCAGGGTTTTAAAAGCCATCTGTATACTGAAGAAATGCTAATCTAGCCTTCCCTTTGAACTCCAAATATACACTGCCTTCCAGATGTTTCCACAGGCGCCTCAAAACCATCACTTCCAAAATCAAGCACACGATGGTCCCCCAAACCTGCCCTCTTACATCTCCCCCATCTCAGATCATGGTGACTCCTTCCTTCCGAGTACTCGAGCCCAAAACCTTGACGCCATCTTCAACTTTTTTTCTTTCTCTCCCATCTACAACCGATTTGTTAACAAATGCTGTTCGATATCAAAGGTTCCCCTGGAGATCTCTCTTTCCTTCCATTTCCATTGCTTTTATCCTAGTGCAGCCAACACCATCTTTTTTTTTTCTTTTTTTTTAAGAGACAGGGTCTCACTCTGTCACTCAGGCTGGAGTGCAGTGGTGCTATCATAGCTCACGAATTCCTGGACTCAAGTGATCCTTCTGTCTTGGCCTCCCAAAGTGGTGGGACTGCAGGTGTGAGCCACCACGCCTGGCCCTGTATTTCACCTGGATGACCTATACCTTGCCTGCCCTCTTGCCTCCTCAAAGTCCATTTGCCACGTCTCTGATTCTTGCTATGAAGTTCATGGTCTTCATCATGGCCCATAGTGCCTGTTGCGTGGCTCAGCACTGGCTGACATCTGCTACAGAGCCCCCTTCACTCACTCTCCTGCCACCCTGGCTTCTCTGTATCGCCAACATTTTAAGCTTGTTTCTACTCCAAGGCATTTGCCCTTGCTGTTCTCTGCGCCTAGAGCATGCTCTTCCCCAAATCTTTTCCTGCCTGTCCCATTCTCAGCTTAAATGTCATTTCCAGAAGAGAAAGAGAGCTCTTTGCTAACCCCACCCCCAAATCTAAAGTGCCCACCCCGTCCCCACCCTTCTCTAGCAAGTCACACTGTTTTGTTTTATTCATTTCTCCAGTTACTACTAGAAATGACTGTGTTTCTTTTTTCTTTTTTTGAGGCAGATTCTTGCTCTGTTTCCTGGGCTAAAGTACCGTGGCATCAGCCTAGCTCACAGCAACCTCAAACTCTTGGGCTCAAGCGATCCTCCTGCCTCAGCCTCCTGAGTAGCTGAGACTACAGCCACGTGCCACCACACCTGGCTAATTTTTCATATTTTTAGTCCTCCAGCTATTTTTTTCTATTTTTAGTTGAGACAGGGTTTCTCACTCTTGCTCAGGCTGGTCTTGCATTCGTGTTTTTTGTTTTGTTTGTTTGTTTGTTTGTTTACCTGCTTTCCCCACTGGCATATAACGCTTTTTTTTTCCGAGACAGGATCTCATTCTGTCAGTGAGTTCAGTGGAGTGGCATGCAGTGGCGCAATCATAGTTCACTGTAGCCTCGAACTCCTGCACTCAAGCAATCCTCCCACCTCAGCCTCCCAAGAAGGCACACACCACCACACTTGACTAATTTTTAAAATTTTGTGTACAGATGAGGTCTCGCTGTGTTGCCCAGGCTGCTCTCAGACTCCCAGCTTCAAGTGATTGTCCTGTGTTGGCCTCCCCAAGGGCCAGGATTATAGGTGTGAGCCACCATGCTCGGCAGATGTGAGCTTTTTAGGGGTGGAGACTTGGTCTGTTTTTTTCACTGCACCTAATACCATGACAGGTGCGAGCACAGTGCATAATAAAGATTGAATTGAGTGAGCACATGGAAGGTGGCTTGCATGGAGGAAGGATTGGAGAGGGTGGGACTAGAGACAGGAAGTAGAGGGGAGGGGACCTAGGCCGGAAGTGAAGGGCGATGGGCGGTGGGGTAAGAGTGGAGCAAACCTGGCCTGTCCTGTTCTTCAGGTATGGCTTCTCTGACTTCCATTCCTGAATCACTGTCTGGACCACTTTCTCATCTCCCTGCAAAGAGAGGATTCCAGTCACTCCTCACCTAGGCCACCTCCACCTGAGGCCAGGCTGCCTCCCTGTCCCCTGGAATCCCTTCACCTGCCTCTGCACCCTCACCTTGAGCAGGTCCATCAGCTGTAGTTCCAGTGCCTTAGTCTCCTCGCGGAGCTGATTAATAGTCTCCTGGTTCTTCTTGATGTTCCACTGGGAGCTCTCATAAAAGGCCTTCTGGTCACCCTCTAGGGGGCAGGTGAGGTGGGCAGACACAGTTCAGTGTCACTGGGTGGTTTCAATGTTCCAGAGGCAAGACCTTTTTGCAATCGTCAACTTAACATTATAGCAATGCAGTCGTCACTCGGTATACTTAGGGGATTGATTCTGGGACCCCTGATTATGACAAAATCTACACACACTCAAGTCCCTGCAGAACCCGTGGATATGAAAAGTTGGCCCTCCACACACTCGGGTTTGCATGGTGAGAATACTGTATTTTTGATCCTAGTTTGGTTGTATTAATAGATGCGGAACCCGTGGATACAGAAGGCCAACTCTATTTATTGAAAAAAATCTGCATATAAGAGGACCTGCACAGGTCAAACCCGTGTTGTTCAAGGATCGACTGTACTTCACTTTGAGTTTGTATTATGTGTTGAATGCTGGACTAAGAGGTTTCCAGGTATCATATGCCATATGCCAATAGGCACATATCTGTATGCATATCATACCCATTTCACAGTTGAGGAGACTGAGGCTCAGACTGGTTAAATTGTTCAAAGTCACATTCAGTCTCACTCCTGCGCCTACACCTTCAACGACTATGCAAGATTGCCTCTTAAGAATAACAAAAATGATAATAACATTAATGGCTTACACCCAAGGATTCCTCAACCTCGACACCACTGACATCTGGGCTGGATAATTATTAATATTTGCTGTGGGGAGCTGTCCTGTGCCTTGTAGGATGTTGAGCGGCATCCTGACCTCTACCCACTAGATGCCAGTAGCAGACACCCACCCTAAACAGTGTGACAAAGAAAAATGTCTTCAGACATTGCCAAACAGTCCCTGGGGAGCAAAATTACCCTCTTCCATTGAGAACCACTGGTTTTCACTTTATAGTACTTTACTGTGTACCAGGCACTGTTGTTCTAAGCACATTACATATTTCAAGTACCTATAATGTATGTTTACTATACCCATTTTTTTTTTTTTTTTTTTTGAGACAGAGTCTCACTCTGTTGCCCTGGCTAGAGTGAGTGCCATGGTGTTAGCCTAGCTCACAGCAACCTCAAACTCCTGGGCTCAAGCGATCCTACTGCCTCAGTCTCCCAAGTAGCTGGGACTACAGGCATGCGCTACCTTAGCCACCACGCCCGGCCTTAAACTTCTAATTCTTAATACAAAGTCGGTGCTCACTCCTCCTAGGATAAAACCCATCTTCCAGGTGACGGACCTTGCTCAGGCTGGTCTCGAACTCCTGAGCTCAAACAATCCGCCCGCCTCGGCCTCCCAGAGTGCTAGGATTACAGGCGTGAGCCACCACATCCGGCCTACTATACCCATTTAACATATGGAAAAACTGAGAGCAATTAGGTTACTCTTAGTTCCCCAAGGTCAAACAATTATTGTGCAGAGCCAGGATTTCAACCCAGAAAATCTGAATCTGAAATCTATGGTCTTTACCACTACATACATAACAGAGAGCTGAAATTACATTAAAATATGAAATATAGTCCACTCGGTGCTGAGCTCAGGAGAAGTTTTAAAAATGAGATGAGGAAAGCCACGATCATACTGGTGAAACGCCTTTGTCACACTATGTCTGGCCACAAGACTGCGTGGACACAGTTGACCCCTGACCCTCTGTGCTCTCTGGAGCCATCTTACCTAACAGTTGTATCTTTCTTTGTAACTCAGCCACCTGCAAGTGCACAGTGGACTTCCCCACACCGCGGCGGAGGGGTGCGTCCTTGAAATGGGGTGGGGACCAGGCCTGAACCGTGCCCTTGCTTCGAGGGTGGTCGTACTTGGGCGAAGCCTTCCTGTTTTTGACCTTGGAAGATGGCGTCGTAACCTGGTCCTGAGCAGGAAGGGCGTTCGTGGCGGCCGCCCAGCACAGGGGAGACGTCATGATTGGGTTGGGGCCGAGGGCCTCAAGGGGTTAGAGGGGCAACTAGGAGTCAGTCGCCCCAGTCCAGGATCTGTCAGCTCGGGTTCCCTGGGCTCTGGGAATGCACTTTCCGACCGCCTGGCGGGGCCTCTCAGCATCTCCCAGTTGCTAGGTAACCTCTTCCCCTCCTCCCTCCAGTGTTTCCATGGAGACCACCCGCGTTCCATTGCACCACTTTCATTGGCTGACGCTGCGCGCGGGGGCGGTCCCATCAGGGGGCGGGGCAGAGACACGCAACAGGGCGGTAGGGGAGGGTACTTTGGACATCACATGCTCATCCCATTTTCCTCCGCCCTTCCTTCCCTTCCCCCGCAGGAGTTTCTCTGGTATTTTTCAGGAACTTTCTTTTCCGGTTGCAGAAGCCGCCACTCCCAAGATGGAGGTACGCTGCGCCGCCATTAAGAGTGAGCCTTCAGAACTATCTTCTCTAAGGCTTCACAGTCCTGTCCAAGATGGCCGTCTGGATTCCGGCACCGCCCCCGCGTTTGCCTCTCCCAACATGGCGGCCCTGAGCCGCTGTTCCCGTACGCGATGCAATGCCGGAAGTGACGTTACCGGGCTTTTCCGCTTTCTTTCTACAGCAGGAACCGTGGCTACTGGGCAAGCGGGACGCGCCGAATAGTGACCTTTGCCCCGGCCTCGTGTAGGTGCCGAACTAGCAAGTGGGAGGGCACCCCAATTTCCTATAGGGGGCAGTCGGAGGGTTCGCGTGTGTGTTGGGGTGGAGAGGTTTAACCCCTTTGGCCTCATTGGCGGGAACTGGGCCACAATTGGGCACAGGGAGCGGAGGTTTTGAGGTCCCCACCATTGATTTGAGCAAAGTGAGACTCTCCTCCACTGGCCAGGATTAGGGAGACCTTTCGGAAGCAAAGTGAGCCCTGACCGCCCAGAAGCCGTGGAGGAATCCAATTGGCTGGAAGTAGCCCTCTCCTACTGACCGAGCACCCTTTTCTTACTGCAGCGTGGGGACACAGCGCATCTCCCCGCAGCCTGCTTCCTCCCACAGAACCTGTTTCCGGTCTCAGAGCCTCCAGTAAGAGATGTTGCTGCTGCCGCTTCTGCTGCTGCTACCCCTTTGCTGGGCTGTGGAGGTCAAGAGGCCCCGGGGTGTCTCCCTCACCAGTGAGTCCTGATTCGTCTTGCCGCCAGGATGCACTTGGGGGTAGGGTGTGGGAGGGACCAACCTTTGGCCCTGGGATAGGCATTCACAGTCCTTTGCCTCAGTTTCCCGGCAGTGCTTATCCGGTGGGGCTGGGGGGACACAGGTGGTATCTGATGAAGACCCCTTCCTGCCTTGGGCTGAGCGTTTTCCCCGCCTCTTCCCTGCAGACCATCACTTCTACGATGAGTCCAAGCCTTTCACTTGCCTGGACGGTTCGGCCACCATCCCCTTTGATCAGGTCAACGATGACTACTGTGACTGCAAGGATGGCTCAGATGAGCCAGGTGAGTTTGTTCTCCATTCATTCATTGAAGCCACTGCACTCCAGCTTGGGTGACAGAGCGAGACCCTGTCAAAAAAAAAAGTGAAGGCAAGGCCCTGTTTTAAAGGGCCTCAGTCTCAGTGAGGAAAGGCGGGAGGGAACACTGGAAGAGTTGTTTCAGGCCTGGAGCATGCAGCTTTGCCTCCCTTGGTTGTTCCTGCCTTTCTTTTGCTCTCTGCATGCATGTGGTTTCCGGGGCTCTGTCTATGGATGGATGGGACATTTCTGGCCCTGAGTGGACTCCGCAAACCTCCCCTCCCTTGTTTCTTACAGGCACAGCTGCCTGTTCTAATGGCAGCTTCCACTGCACCAACACTGGCTACAAGCCCCTGTATGTCCCCTCCAGCAGGGTCAACGATGGAATTTGTGGTGAGTGAGGACACACTGGGGTGGGGGAATGAGGCAGTGAGTGGAGGGCAGGAGAAGGCCCTGCCAGGTCTGATCTCAGCCCCTGCTTCTGCCTCAGACTGCTGCGATGGGACAGACGAGTACAACAGCGGCATTGTCTGTGAGAACACCTGCAAGTACGTGGGCAACAATACCCCTCTCATCACCCCACCCCAGGACCTTGCCTGGTCCCACCCAGACAATCAGGCCCGTTCTCTGTTCTGTTTTTGACTACTGAGTGCTTACTCTCTGCCAGGTGCCTTTTGAACCCTAATCACTGGCTTTCTCTCTAGTCCAAAAGTAACTGTTTCCCTAGTCAATAAATAAGGAGACTGAAGTTTAGAAAGGAAAATGACTTCCCCAGGGACACACAGCTAGGAGATGGCAGAGCCAGGACTCAAACCAAGGTCAGCCTAACTTCTGACTCCAAACTTTTAATTGTCATGCTCTGCTGCAGGGCCTCAAAACGTAAACGCCCACAGGCAGGTAATGTAAATAACACAAGCAGGCTGAGTACAAGGCAGTAGGGAGTGGTGGGGATTGTGGCATCCAAAGGAATAGCTGTGAGGCCAGGAGTTGGAGACCAGTCTGGGCAACAGTGAGACCCCATTTCTACAAAATTGTAAAAATTAGCCAGATGTGGTGGTGTGCATCTGTAGCTACTCAGGAGGCTGAGGCAGGAGGATCGCTTGAGCCCAGGAGTTTGAGGTTGTGGTGAGCTGTGATGACACCACTGCACACTAGCCCAGGCAACAAAGCTAGACTCTGTCTCCAAAAATAACAATAATAACAGCTGTTCTCAACTCCAATTGAGAGGGCTGGATTAGTTTTTCAAAGTCCCAATATGGATGTAAACTCTCCTGATGTCAGATCTTTTCAGTAGAGGATGGATTAAGCACAACACACTTACCAGCCAGATTATCTGTTTGTCTGGGAGTCTGATTTTTGTTCTTTCTCTCAACTTTCTCCACTTTCTCTTGGGAGCTAACTTCTAGCTCTACCTCCCAGCACTCTTTAGTCCCTTGCCTGACCCCAAGAGTGGGCAAACCCTGGCCTCTGTCCCTCCTTCCAAGGACAGGGATGAAGAGTTGAGAGAGCCTGGGCTCGGGAGGGGAGTTTGCTCTCTTGCTTTTCCCACCATGGTTGGCAGGGGCGGCGGGTGGGGGCGGGGTCAGCAGGTGGGTTGAGCCCTTTTTGGAAAAGGCAGACCTGGTGGCCTAAATGCCCATTGGTGGTACCTGTGTGTCCACCCCCACCCCAGAGAGAAGGGCCGTAAGGAGAGGGAGTCTCTGCAGCAGATGGCAGAGGTTACCCGCGAGGGGTTTCGCCTGAAGAGGATCCTTATCGAGGACTGGAAGAAGGCCCGGGAGGAGAAGCAGGTGAGGGGTTCCTGGGGGCTGACATGGGATGATCTGGGCATTGAGGCTGCTACACATGGGCTGGCAAACCACCTGCCCCTGACTAGAAGTGTCCTTGGGCAAGTTTCCACCTGCCTGTACCTTGCTTTCTCAGTTGTGCACTGGGCATTAATTTTTAGCTAAGTAGCTCCCAAGTGGGTGGCAGTCATCTCAGGAGTTGATCAGTACCTTGGACATCAGACTCACATGGGCTTGAAGGGGCTCTGCTGCCTCCTAGGGATGGGAGGGAATGCTTCTTTGCATTCCAGGTCTGTGGTCCCATTGTCTGTGTAAGTGGATCTGATGACCATGTGACCCCCAGTTCGGGGGTGGGGGGGCAGCTCAATAAGATAACATCAGTGAGCAGCAGCCGGATTAGTTCAGTAGGTGAGTGCTTGGGGGTCCCTGGGTGTGTGTCTCTCCCTACCTCCTTGCCACCCCCTTGGCTGTTAGATGGGTTGGTGTCCTCACCACTGTGCCAGGGCTCCTGCTTCACCCACTAAGTGAGGGCTCCAGCTCTGTTTTCCTGCCCAAGGAAGGAAGGTTCCAGGTCTTTTCTCTCCCACCCCCATGGCTAGTGAGGTCCCCCCCAAATTCAGGGGACAGTGAGATCCCTCTCAAATTCCAGGAGTACTGGGGGAGCCATGTGGTGAGGTCAACTCCAAGTGACCTCTGCCCTCCTGGGGAGGTGGGAGGATCCTGGCAGGAGGCCAGGCTAAGGTATCCGCCAAGGTCTTAGGAGGAAAGTGACGCCACGGGGCCTTAGGCTACAGCTTGTGGGCCCCATCGCCAAAGCAGAGCCAGCCCAACACACTTGCTCCTTCTTGAAACATCCACAGAGGCCCAGGATGTGCTATGCACTGGGCAGGAGGATGGAACCAGACCTGGATCTGCCTCAAGCAGCTCATCGTCTAGTGGAAGGGACAGACAGACAGAAAGTGACTCCCAGGGATGCTGGGCAAAGGGAAGTTTGGGGCTGTGAGGCATAGAAGAGGCTCTTGCCCAGTCCCCTTCCCTCTCTGTCTTGGAGGAAGAAGGCAGGAAAGACTTCCTGGAGGAAGAAATTTCTATCTAAACTAGAATCCATAGGGTAATTTGGAGTTAGCCAGGGAGAGTGTTCCAGGCTGTGTTCCAGTGTTCCACAGCATATTTAAAGAACTGGGCCCAGACATGGTGGCTCATGCCTATAATCCCAGCACTCTGGGAGGTTGAGGTGGGAGGATCTCTTGAGGTCAGGAGTTCGAGACCAGCCTGAGCGAGAGTAAGATCCCATCTCTACTAAAAA